AAACTTGAACCTTGGTTGGTCTCATGGGAGTCCAGCACCTTAACCACCATGCTACCTGCTAGCCCTGCCCTGGAATTTTTAATTTTTTTTTCCATAGGAGCCAGCAGGTGGCATAGTGGTTAAAGTGTTGTACTCCCACATAGTCAACCACAGTTCGAGTCCCAAACCTGGAAGCTTGCTCTCTCGCTTTCCCTCTCTCTCTCTCTGTGTTTCTGGTCAAATAAAATTAATAAATTAAAACAAATAATTTTTTTTTAAATTAAATATTTTTTCTTCCATAATAATAGAGTTTTTAGCTGGGGCTATGTATCTCCTGCTCCCTCCCAGACTAAAGACTATTTCCCAGTTTACCTTGCAGTGAGGTTTCAATGTGACCAAGTTTGGGCTAATGATGTAAATGGGAGTATCCTGTAGAGCTTCAGGACCCTACCTTAAGAGGCAGCTGATGCTCATTGGTTCTTTTTTATTTTTCCATTCTCCATTGTGCTTCTTGGGATGTTGGTCATCCATGCACCTGGCATATTTTTCAAGCTTCTAGGGCCAGGATTTGAATAGTAGTCAGCTATATGAGATCCAGCTCCCATAACCACTAGACCACAGGGCCAGCCCCACAGCAAACAATCAGTAGATGTTCTTAAAAAGTTCCATGGCCGGGGCTGGCAGGTGGCATAGTGGTTAAAGGAGTCGGACTCCCACATGGCCAACTACAGTTTGAGTCCTAGATTTGGTGGCTTGCTTTCTCACTTTCTCTCTCTCTCTTTTTCTATCTCTCTCCGGTCAAGCAGAAAAATAATGATAATAAATACATAAATAATTCTTTTAAAAAGTTTATTATGGCCAGGGTGGCCCATGGCCTGGTGAGCTGGTTCCCATGTGATGAGCTGTGCAGTTCAAATCCTAGACCTGGTAGCTTAAGAAACACATTGAGCATGTGTGTGTGTGCCCAAAATCCCCAAAGGAGGAAGAAGTGGAAGAGAAGGGATTGTGGTGTAACCATTTCCCACCTGGGAAGGGGCAGTGTTTGCTCTCTCTGTTGTTCTCACTGTCTCTGGCAAACACACATGCCCTCTGGCAAAAATAAAAATAAAATCATGGCCATGTTCAGAATCTGTCACTCCAATGGCCTCCCATCAGTTCTAGGGTCCTACTTCTCTTTTCCTTCTCTAAGTCTCCCTATCAGGGGGCCTGGAGAAGCTCAAAACCATCTCCCACTATTTTGTAGCACTGTTTAATTCCATTCTTTTACTCACCCTGGCAGACTATTTATGAAGCCCTTTCATACTCCTCTATCTCAGAGGCAAATTATTTCATAGCCCATAGGAAAGAATAGTGGCTAAGTAAGTACTGTTACCAAAAAATGGCCTTTTGGGACCAGCAGTTAGCGTAATGGCTATGTCACTGGACTCCCACGTAGTCGACTGTGGTTCAAGTCCTGGAATCGGCGGCTTAAAGTTACGCTGGGCGCGTGTGCGTGCGTGCCCAAGATCCTGAGAGGAGAATGGAGGAGAAGGGATTGCGGTGTGGCCATTCCCCCTGGGGGATGATTTCTAGCTTTCTATCTCTCTGTCTCTCTCTGTCTGACTGGTGAGCACACGTGCCCTATAGCAAAAACTTCTCGGAAAAAAAAAAAGAAAAGAAAAGAAAAAAAAAAATGGCCTCTCTCTGTTACTGAAACAGTGCTTCAAGAAGCATTGCTATCCAGAGCTCAGTGCCTATGTGCCTGGGTTTCTACAGAGTGGGTTTTTTTTTTTTTTTTTTTTTTTTTTTTGAGAGAGATTTTTTGCTATAGGGCTTATGTGCTCACTGCAGAGACAAAGACAGGGAGAGAGACAGAAAACAAGAAATCACCCCCTGGGAGATGGCCTGCCTCAATCCCTTCTCCTCCATTCTCCTCTTAGGATATCAGGTGCTCATGCACATGCACCCAGCATGAGTTTTAAGCCGTCAGATCCAGGACTTGAACCGTGGTTGACTATGTGGTAGTTCAGTGATGTAACCATTACACCACCTGGTCTCCAGAGTGCATTTCTTTTTTCTTTCTTTCTTTCTTCTTTCCTTCCTTCCTTCCTTCCTTCCTTTCTTTCTTTCTTTCTTTCTTTCTTTCTTTTTCTTTTGAGAAATTTCTGCTCTAGGGCGCATGCGCTCACCAGAAAGACAGAGACAGAGAGACAGAAAGCGAGAAGTGATCCCCCAGGGGGGATGGTCATGCCACAATCCCTTCTCCTCCATTCTCCTCTTGGGATCTTGGGCACACCGGGTCTTGGACTTGAACCACGATCAACTACATGGGAGTTCAGCGACATAGCCATTACGCCAACTGTTGGTCCTGCTGGAAACTTGATCGCAGTGTAATTGTGTTGACAAAAGGTGGGGCCGAGTGGATGGTTTTTGGATCATGAGGCTCAGCCTTCATGAATAGATTCATGCTGCCTCACAGGAAGGAGTGAGCTCTCATTCTCACAGGAATGGGTTAATCCCTGCAGGAGCAGTATCTTAGTGCATTATTGCACTGCTAACAAATACCTGAGACTGGGTGAATTTAGGAGAACAAAGGTTTATTTTGACTCACAGTTCCAGTGGCTGAGAAATCCAAAGGCATCACAAAATGACAGAAGGTAGAACATTTAGCAGAGCAGAGAGCATGTGGCTTTCTCTCTGCTCTTCTGGCCACACTTCTGCTTATAAGCTCACCATGAAGGCCTCATCCTAATGACTTGATCACATCCAAGGCCCCCCCTAGTATACCATGAAGAAATTAAGTTTTCACCTGATAGTGTTACAATACAATCAAGTCCCAACCCCTAAATATTTAGGGGATATCCAATTTTTTTTTCCAAAACCCTCAGAATAAGCAGATGTTATCATTCTCTGGTTCTCTAGAAAGTCAACAACAAAAATGTCTTGAGCATCCCAAAAACTTGCTATACTATTTTCTCATGACTGGTTGGCTTTTGCTTTTTTGTTTGTTTTTCTAATTGCCACAGAGCGTGTTTGTCAGTAAGAGACAGAGAAAGGGAGGAAGCATCTTCAATTGGGTATGGTCATGCAACAATCTCTTCCATTTCTCCATCCTCTTGAGACTTTGGGCACACACACATGCTCACATGGCATGCTTTTTCAGCTGCCAAGCTGAGATTCAAACCACAGTTGTCCATGTGGGACCTGGCTTCCTTAACCACCAGACTACAGGACCAGCCCTGGTCTTCTTTTGCTTTGACTGGGCCACTTTCATCTGTTGATAGCCATTGCTTTGATTGTATATTACCATCAGGGTAATACTGCCAAAGATGTGTCATTTCCTATTACAATCCTTCAAAGATGTGCTTAAGGATCTTGATCCTACTTGTTTAAAATTTTCCATCGAAAGCTCTGCTCTTGTCTATACTCAATCTGGGCTCAACAGTTTTGGCACCCACTGAGCAGAAAGTTTGGTCAGCCTCAATTTTTCATTCAGAATGGTGGAAGCTGAACCAAATGAGATGCCTGTGAGACGGGCTTCTGTTTCTGCTATTAGTCATCATTCTTCTTCAATGAAAGCACAAACAAGGTTCATTTTTTCCTCACAAATTGATGTGGATGGTCTGCTGCTGAGGCATCGTCCTCAACGTCATCTCATCCCTTCTTAAAATCACTTGTCCATGTGTAAATTGCTGATTTCTTCTGGGCATTTTTTTTTTGATTTCTAAAACATCAGTGATTTCATCATTTTTTTGCCCAAGCAGGATTCTTCTTTAGAGTTTAACATAATTCATGTTGCTCTGATAGAAGCTCTTTTCAAACTGCTATCAGTCCTTGTAGTGCTCAAACTACATCCTATTGAGACATACTATAACAAGTTAGCATGAGTTTCTTTTGGTGTAAAAATTTTTTTGAAATCCATGAATAGTTTTTTCTTAATACATATTTGCCATGAACTTTCTGAAGACCTCCTCATGTATTATTTTATGTTAGATATGTATGCACACATTTATAGATTTAAATTGATTGATTTGTTATAGTGATTGATTTATTCATCTTTATCTGTTTTGTTCTACTTTGTTTATGGCATCTTACTATATAGAGTTTCATTTGTGTGTGTGTATATATAAATATATATGTATATGTATATATATATATTTTTTTTTTTTAAGAGAGAAATTTTTGCTATAGGGCATGTGCACTCACCAGAGAGATAGAAAGACAGAAAGCAAGAGATCACCCCCAACAGGATGGCCACACCATAATCCCTTGTTCTCCAGTCTCCTCTCGAGATTTTGGGCATGCACACACATGCACCCGGCGTGAGATTTAAGTCACCAGGTCCAGGACTTGAACTGTGGTTGAGTACATGGAAGTCAAGTGACATAATCATTAGGCCATTTGCTGGTCCTTCATATTTTAAATAGTCAAAATTTTCATTTTGGCCTTGTCAAACGAAACTGAGTTTAATGCTTATCATGGAAACAGACAATACTGCTTTGACAAAATTTGTTAGCCTGAGAGAAGAAATGAAATGGCAAAGTGGGGACTTTGTGACATTTTGAGACTTTGAATCTAATCTAAGATGGGGGCTTGGTTAGGAGTGGGGAAGAATCAGGATACAAAAGTTGTAGACTGGTAACACAACAATGCGAGCATTTTGAGGCAAAGGTTCAAAGAGTCTTAGGGTGCAAACTGTCATTTGATGCTTTCTTGAATTGTTGATAGGCCTTTCAAGAAGTTCCTGGAATTAAATATCTTTATTTACAACTTTTATCTTTTCGGACTAGAATTTCCTGGAATAGTAAAATCATGGTAATAAAGGAGTGGAGTGTGTTGCAAAGTCCATGTAAACTACGTAAGTTGTAAAGGTCTCTGTAATCTAGATAGTAAGGGGATAGATGGTCTGGGTTCTTAGACCCCACCCCCCATTGTAGTCATTTATTTATTTATTTATTTTATTAACTTATAAACAAATGCATATCTTCTGGTTTGTTGAAACAGTAAGTCAGTCAACATTTGCCACAATAATGTCTGTCAAAATGGCTGGCCATAAAAACTCCTGCACCCCATTCGTCGGAAGGGAACTCCTGACGAAGGTGTCTGATTTTGCCATTTTCATCCACCTTACAGTATTTCAGGAGAGCCAGCTTAAGCTCCTTTCTCTTATACTTATTCCTCTTGAGAGTGGTGTAAGACTTCTTTCTTTTCTTCACACCTCCACCATGTCTCAACACAAGATGAAGCGTGGACTCCTTCTGGATGTCGTAGTCAGACAGAGGACGCCCATCTTCCAACTGCTTGGCAGCAAAAATCAGTCTTTGCTGATCAGGAGAAATTCCTTCCTTATCCTGGATTTCGGCTTTTGCATTTTCTACTGTATCTGACAGTTCAACCTCAAAGGTGATGGTCTTCCCTGTAAGGGTTTTTACGAAAATCTGCATCTTGGTGGCGGTCCCACCGCAGGTGGTGGATGGGAAAGCATGGTCGTTTTTCAGCCTGAGCTGAATTAATGCCATGAATATGTTAGGGTGTGATCGATATTTTCACAACTCTGCAGGTGTCCCGATTTACAAGTGAAATTTCCAGGGATGGCAGTTTGGACCTCCATGAGGGGTCAGGTTTCCTGTACTTGCTGGGAGATCATTTTGGGCCCACTTGGTGAGACAGCAGTAGTGCAGCAGCGTTTGGGTGTAGAGATCGTACACTCACACACCTGAACACTGCATCAGACACAAAGGCTAAGAGAAGGCGAGTGGTCCGTGTGTGTGATTCGCCTCTCACCCAGAGGACCAAGTTCCCAGGCTAAATCAAGAGTACATGCCATTCATAATCTGAAAAATCTCACAGAACCAGATGTGGGTTATTAACAAAATTAACCTGATTTTCTGATTTCTCTGTTTGCTCCCCAAGTCCCAGAGAGGTCTGCAAAGATGTAAACACAATAGACTTCTCCTGAAACTGACACACACACCCCACTCTCAGGAGACTCGTATTACATCAAACGCCACTCAGCTCTGAACAACTGCCTATCCAAATTCAAGAATTTCTTGGGAAAGAAGTTCGATATCGTTGGGTGCTTAACTTGCCTGAGCCATTGATGTAGGTGTTGCCCTGCTTTCTAGGCCTCTTATAACCCATGATATGAAGAGGCCTAAGAAGAGAACAAAGCAAACCAGAATTCCCCTTGCATGGTTAGGATTTCAAAACAAGACCCATTTTCCCTCCTCCTTAAATTAAGTTACATCAGAATCTTTCTTTCGCAGAGGAAAATCTGATGGCTGTAGGGCACGTGTGCTTGCAGAGACACAGAGAGAGAATGTGAGAAATCACTCCCTGAGGCAGGGAGGGGATGGCCATGTCACATTCCCTTCACCTCCATTCTCCTTTTGGGATTGTAGGCATGCATACACACACGGTCAGCATGAGTTTCAAGCCACCAAGTCTGTGACTCAAACTGGAGTGACCATGTGGGAGTCCAGTGCTGGAACCACTATGCCACCTGCTGGCCCCTGTGCTTGGTACATCTTTAGACTGGTTTGACTATGACAGAGGAGGGTTGACGGCACCTAGATCTGAACTTCCCACCTACTAAGGTATCTGCTCCAACGTGGCCCCAGATCCCACCTTGTGTGCCCGACCTGAGAGAGCATGGCCTGCTTTACTTGCCATTACTGCAATGCTTGACGTGGTTCACTACATTCCAGACACCCTCTCCCGCAGCGGCTTTCAGCACCCCTTCCTTATTCCTCCTCTCTACACACTTGTCTATGGCAGCATGGGAAGGTCTTGGCTTTGTTTTTCCTTTATTTTTATCCTCTTCTGTTTCTTTATTTTCTCCTTCTGACTTTGGGGTTAAAGCTCTCCGTGAGTTCCTAGGAAATCACACCCTGGGTTAGGTTTCAAGGCCTTCCTGGTTGCACTTAAAAGGCCTTGATTCTTCCCTAGAAAATTACACCTCAGGTTAAATTTCCCAAGAACGTAGCATCAACAGGTGTTCATTTCACGACTGGAGAACACTGTCAATGGGACTGCTGTCCCCCAGATCCTTCCCCGAAGGGCTGCATGCTCCATCATTACAGTTCTGATTTTACTCAGCTCTCCAGAAATGGCAGCATTTTACTGAAAACAACTTAGTGCTTCAGTGGCCTCTCAAGGGAATTTGGGATTTCCCCAAACAGGCTTATTTGGCAAGGGGTTCCTGGTCCCTTAGCTACAAGATCTCATCCAAATGATACCAGCGATTTGCTGATTTTGTTTGGTACAAAGAATCAGGGAAATGGTTCTCCTACAAAGTTGATTTAGTGGCTCTTGAGGAGCTCAGAGCCCCTAGGAACAACCACCCAAGGCTAAGAAAGGTCATTGGAAACAGGCTGGACATTTTATCCATGCAGGTGGACTTTGGAGGCTCCCAAATAGTTAACCTGCTCTCTCCTCAGTCCTTCACAGCCTCCATAAAACCACACAAAAAAATCTTTAAAATTTCTAACACAAATATTGGTGGGGACGCTTCAGTCCTCATATTAAGCAGGTAACCTCAACTTAAAGGCCCATCTGCCAGAAACACAATCTTGGTTAAGAAAAAAAAATATTGAAGAAGTGGAGTAAGGATTCGACACAGTCCTCAAATTAAGCAGGTAACCTCAACTTAGCCCATCTGCCAGAAACACAATCTTGGTTAAGAAAAAAAAAAAATGAAGAAGTGGAGTAAGGATTCGACAAGAGCTGTTTTTTTTCTACACAAACCAGTAAGTTTTGTAGTTTTCATTTATGCCTAACTCATGGTTGGACTATTAGAATTAAAGTCTTATGCTCTCTATGTCTGAATGTACATGCATGTGTGTGCGTGTATATGTGTGTGTGTGTGTGTGTGTGTTATAAATGGGTAGTATGTTCTCTCTTCTGGATGATATTACTAAATTAGATTATAAAGTCCTTTAGAGGAACTTTATTCTGATTGACTTATAGACAAGTAAGTCTGTATATATTAAATATTCCTAAAGTTCCTAGGAATTAACATTTTGATTTTTTTTTTTTGGAGAGATTTTCGCTATAGGGCATGTGCACTCGCCAGACAGACAGAGAGAGACATTAGAGACAGAAAGTGAGAAATCATCCCCCAGGAGGGATGGTCACGCCGCAATCCCTTCTCCTCCATTCTCCTCTCGGGATCTTGGGCACACATGCACACACGCCCGGCGTAAGTTTTAAGCCACTGGGTCCGGGACGTGAACTACGGTCGACTACTTGGGAGCCCAGCGACATAGCCATTACACTAACTGCTGGTTCCTACATTTTGATATTTTAAAAAAATTCTGATAGAAGCCCCCATTTTTTTCTTTACTCATGATAAAGCTTATCCATGTTACGGATGAAAAGTGAGAGAGGTGAGCACCCTCCATGGGACTGGGACATAACCAACATCCCATCCCCCAGTCCTCTCTCCATTGGATCATGGGCACTGCTGTTTGTGTCTTGAAAATTTCAGGCTAATGGAGTCAAGGACTCAAGCCATGGTGGCCATGTGGGGTCTGGCTTCTCTCAAGCAGTGAATTACCTCTGTGCCAGGGAGTTGGCAAAACCCGCCTGTTTTGATAATTCAAGTTCTCATAATTTAGATACATCTTGGCAAAGTTAGATCATTCCTAATAAGATAAAACACTAAAACATTCATTACTGTGTCTCATTATATGCCTACATATATTTGAGTTTGTTAATAAATATAGCCCAACCGGCTGCTCTGAAAAGCCATCTCCCATACCTGTGGCCACGTCAGCTGTGTTCCCCACCCCCCACCACCACCACAGCTTTATCACCAGCCCCCATAGATGAAAATAACAAACTCTGTAAAAATAATAATTAATATGGTTTATTTCGAAGCATGAATATGAGTGACCTAGGCCCAGAGAGGAGACAAAATATGCATTTCTCTCAGGGTGATCAAGTATAGGAGATTCTTTTATCTGATTTTTGTTTTTGAGAGGTTTTATTTATTTATTTATTTGTTTGCTATAGGGCCCGTGTGCTCGCCAGACAGACAGAGACAGAGAGATAGAAAGCGAGAAATCACTCCCCAGGGAGGATGTCCACGCCGCAATCCCTTCTCCTCCATTCTCCTCTTGGGATCTTGGGCATGCACGCACATGTGCCCGGCATGAGTTTTAAGCCACCGGGTCCGAGACCAAACCGCGGTTGGCTACATAGGAGTTCAGTGACATAGCCATTACATTAACTGCTGGTCCCTCTTTTATCTGATTTTGAGAGCAAGAGATAGTGTTGGAATTTAGTGAAGAGTTTCTTATTGGTCTGGCCCAAAAAGGGGAAGGGCATGTGGAAGCAGGGGCTTGTAGGTTATAGGTGGGTTTTACAGTTTTAGGGTAGTGATTGGAAAAGGAAGGTTGTTGAGATCAGAAAGGAATGTACTGTAACAGCAATATGGAGACTTGATATCCATCACAGGGGTAATGATACTCGTCCCATCCCCTCCATCCTCCCGGGTCTTCCTCACCCTGGCATGATGCCAGTACCCCATTTAAAGACCCTCCCATGATGCCAAAGATGGTCCCTCCTCCTCCTGGGATGATGCCAGTAGGGCCTGCTCCTGGAATGAGGCCACCCATGGGAGGCCACATACCCATGATGCCTGGGCCCCTCAGTGATGAGATATCCAACCCAGTCCATGATGGTGCCCACTGGGCCAAGAAATGACTCAACCAGACAAGGAAGACTTTCTTCCCCCTTATGTTAAAAAAAAAAAAAAAAAAAAAAAAAAAAAGAAAGAAAA